GATTTTTGTTGTTTTATAATAATTGAGCAAAACCAAAAAATTCAAGGAAAGAACGGGAAAATGTACGAAAATAATTATTTATTATTATTATTATTATTATTATATTTTTTTTTAATTATATAATTCATTTTATTTAAAATAAAATAAACATTTACACAACAAGCAAATTTGGTAAAACAGTATAATAATAACATATAAAAAACATGAACACGTGAGAAGAGTTGTCATTCAGTGATATTAATACTCTAATATTTATCATTTCAATTTTGTTTTCAGTTAAAAATATCCATATGCTTAATATTTTAACAGAATATTAATATTTTCTTCTTCTAGATTTCTTATAGTTAAAAATAAAATTTAAATATTTTTGTGTTATTTATAATTATATTTTTTTTTTTTTTTTTGAGTGTTTTACGTAATTTTTATTATATAAGTACTCTGTTGGTATAATTGTAAGACTAAATAGAAATGTTTCAAAATTTAACAGAAGATTCATTACAAGTCGTAATTTTTGGTAAAAAAAAATATTGAGTGAAATGTAAAATTTTTTTTTAAAGAGATTTGAATTCAAATTTCGAGAAGAATTTTAAATATTACGACCTTTTAAAACACGTAGATTATAAATTATATTAAATTAATATAAATTAAATAAATGTTTGTATTCTGACTTCCTAACTTTCCACATACAATGACATACCCAACTGTAGTGTCGCATCTTTTTTATTTTTTTGTGGTACAGTCTATACTATGGAACAATGGGTATTGAAATCGTCGCTTTATTATGTGTTTAAACAAAATTCAAATACCTAGTCGGCACATAATATGGGTACACGTACTTGGCTAGTTTATAATATAGGCTCGCGAAACGCCATTAAGAGAGAATTGATTGAAATGCAAAGCAAACATACGCTTTTGTCGTATATACCTACCTGCTAAACACTAATGGCGTGTGTCCGAAAGGACCAAGTTTAAAACTATCGGTAGCCCGAGGCCATGTGTTGTAAAGTCACGACACGGTCACGGATGTTATCCATTAGATTTATATACATCACCAAAACCCGACACGTATAATAGAGATTGATCTCTCGTTAAAAGTACGCTGACCGAGAGACGCGAACAAATATTTTTTGATGGAACATTAAAAAAAAAAAAAAAACTCCTGTGATCAGTAGAGCTCCGTTACTACAGTCGAATTTTCTAAAGTCTATTTTATATTACCTATAGAAATATATTTTGCTTAATAAGAAACAACCGAATATTTTAATAAAATACTAAAATACTATATACCACAATTATACACTGATTTTAAATATAATGATTGTGAAATTTGATTATAACAATAGTAATAGTGGGGAGCAAGGGCACCCGCAGAAATATAAACCGGGGGGGGGGAGCGAGGCAAAGTCAAAATTATAACAATTTTTTTACAACTTACAATTAAACATGGCTTATATATTTAAGCCGTGCAAGTAATTAAACAGTTTACATTTAATATTAACTAAAATAGCCTGAGGAGACCATGGCTCCAACCGGCACCCCCCGCGGGTATCTCTGATTCTCATATACACATCGATACTAACACCACGTATACACACAATTTTATTTTTCGGGCTTCATTTGGAAAAAAAAAAATGTGTAGGTGTATATAAAACACAGTATTTGACCTTTTTTTAATTCATATTATACATGGTATAGTGAGCTGAACTGGGTAGTGCGACTCAGAAATATATATAGACGAAGTCACCGGTGACTGACAGCTTCTCAGTAGTTGATTAATAGAAAAAGTTTTGAAGTCGATAAAAAAACACTTATAAATAATAAAAGTACTTTATTGACTGAGACAAAGCAGCCCGTGGTTCACACAAATATAAGGTATGATACTAACGGTCTGTCCATAAATCTAGTTGACACTAAGTTTAATCTAAGACTAAAATTTATGTAGATCTGCGCTCGCATATATACGCTCGTATATACAATTCTACCCGGACGCGGCCCGCAAAAGTTGGCGATTCTAAATTAATATTTAACAAAAGCATTTTGGAAGACGACTTTAAACAATCGCCTTTCTTAATATTATTAATTTACTATTTATATGTTTAAAAACATAGTGACCGTTATAGTCCCGTACGTACAACTATGTACAGGGTAGTGATCGAGGCATGACCCGATCACCGCAATAGTATGCTTGGTTGATTTACCACGAAAACTGAATGTAAAATCCACTATAATTTGTCGCCATAAGGCATGCACCTAGTAACGTTATCACAAAACAGCGCAACAATCGCTTTTTTTCGGAGAAAATTTTACAAAAACAAACAGATATTATATACGGGTGTTCGTACATCGTTGCTATACATGCTTTTCATGCATTAAAGTATTAGTATCTACGCAAATAGGCCTTATGCCACGGAAGTTGAAACCATGTGGAATATAAGGTTAGGTTATATTATGTAGGGTAATTTATTATATAATATATATTATGCATTGATAAACAATGACGAAAAAAAAAAATACTGATTCTGAGCTTATTTAAACATTTTAAAATAAATTTTAATTGTACATTTTATTTTATGAACATTTGTAAATTGCAACTACGCATGTTTTCTTTATCAATTTATTGATAAAATTATATTATTAATTGTTTTATTATAGTTGAATTCGGTTAAATGACGAGTTAAATGAACAATATTTTAAAAAATAAAACCAATATTAATGACACCGTCACGAAAGCCGCTTGGGACTCGATTTACTTGTTGCGACCAACAGGTGTTCGATTCCCGACTGGGTCTCGATCGTATATACAATATGGGAACCCGGCATCGAGTTCGGATTAAGTGGATGACGGAGTGCAGGCCTCCGGGCCGCGAGGTTTTTGTTTTAGATTTATCTCTATAATCTATATGTATATAAAATATTTTAAACCCACACGTCGGTTTTGACCTTTCCAAAAGTTTGTCCCTAGGGTTAAAATGTCTTAATCCAAGATCTTCCGCCATTTTTGTCGTATTATTATTATTATTATTATTGATCGCTACGTATATTTCGTGAGCATTCAAATAATTTATCCTATGGACTCCATCGGTTTTCGTATAGTATCTCGATAATGCTTTATTATACTGTTTTACATGTCTCAAGTAAATATTATGATAAATAAGCTAATTTTTGAGATAAATACAAACGATGAAAAAAATACATAATACGCAATAAGTACCTAGTTTCCTTGATGCGTTTTAGTTTTGTCCAAATTATTAAGCACCAAGAATTAAGTAAACCAGTAGAAGTAAAGCTGGCCAATCTAAATAAATTGACATAGATAGGATAAATTGGATACCCAACAATACTGGGTCACCAGATCATTCTAGTGAAGTATACCATCACATCTGAAAACAAAAACTAAATTTTGCTAAATTTTTTTTTTAATTTCAATATAAAAATGTCCGATAAAATATTCTCTTCCAGAATATGAAATGTATAACTTTAAAAATTTGACAATTTCTCATTTTAGTATAATAGAGGGGAATGATTTAAGACATTTTTGTTTTATGAAAATGGACGGTGAAAGAAATTTTCCGTTACGGTTATAATAGTACGTATATTATTTGCCCAAGATTATTTTACGGGAAAACGGAATAAATTGTTTAATATTACACACCAAGTTATAGGTAACGTTTTCTGGTATGAATTGCTTGATAAAAAAACAATGTACGATAATTTAAATGTGAAATTTATCAGCCCGTAACATTAAACGATAAAACCCGTACTTACGCTCCGGATGTCCCAAGAGGAATTACCATTTTAAAACATTGTGTAGTAGAAGTGTTTAAATTACTTCCACCGCCGCTTTAAATAAGTACAGTAAAGCTTTCGCAGAACACGATGCAAAGATAATACTATGACGTCGTTATAATATATAATTCATAAAATATTATATTTTCCTAATATATTGTGTAGGTTATATTTGTTTAAAGGCATTAAGGTTTAGTGGTAAGTATGTCTGCGATAAAAACAATCAAAAACCGCGGACGTATTAAACACACTTCGATCCGTAAAATTACAATATTAATTTGTTTTTCCGAATATCGAATTATTATTACGATGTCATTTGATCAAAATTCACCTTACGAAAAACACGCATGCGCTTTATACTGTTTGAATAGTATTTGTTAAAAAAGAAAAATTGTTATTTGATACGATTTAGGTATATGTATCAATATTATAATAATTGTAAAATTGTTTAGTCGATAAAAATACTACGAAATTTTGGCACATTCTTTTTCTTAGAAAAATATTATAGCACTTAGTCACATCGAATTGTACCAAACAGAAGATAACAAAAACAATAACAATAATAATAATAACGTATTAGTTGATTGGTATGAAAACAATTTGATAAAATATTATTAACGTCACATTAATACCTAGCGTTTTCCATCTGACTGCACCGGCGTACACGTCGCGGTGGCAGATTATGAGCCCCATTGTTAGTGACTGATATTTTGAAAATTGCACAAAGAAGTGGTGTTAATATACCCAATGAGACAAAATTATAATATACCGTCAGGATTAGACAACGAATTGCTGTTATCGTTATTTATTATTTGACGATTTTGATCTTGGCCGCGTGTAGTATCTGAGAGTGTAGTCGGATGGAAAACGCCAAAAATAAATTTGCAAATAACATGTCAAAACGATCGCGTATTTTGGGGTACTTAAACGACAATAATAACAAGTGTATAGTGTGGTAGATCGCAAAATCATAAAACATATGACAAAATGAATGATAACAATCACCATGACGATAACCGTCATCATTGTTCTAGCAACAATATGGTTCTAAATTTACAATTGAATTTGTTTTTTCGAATAATATTCAATACGCCCATTAAGTGTGTACACATAATAATTATTCTAAGACAATACCAGGTTTGTTTTCTGTTCTACGAACAAACTGTATGATATTTCGTTATTTGGATTAGTAATATACATTTTTTGAATCTAAAATGGCTGATGGAAGATTCAAAACAGTGCTGTTTACTTATGCGACGGTCATAATAGGTAATTACGAATTTTCATAAATAATCGATCATTCATATATATTTATATATTAAATATTATTCCTCTGCGACTTTTTAAATAATACCACCCACGTTTAAAAAACGATTCAATTCGCACATTACACATACCATTTAACAGAGTTTAAAATAATTCGTAATATTAAAAAAAAAATCAAATATTGAGTATGAAACCATTAAATATTTAACGGATTGCATACATAGGCGATTTTAATGAAATTTTTCAAAAATTTCAAATTTATTAATGCAAAAATATACAAATTCACTTTCAAATAAATTTAAATGTTGTTGTTATGTTGTTCTATATCTTAAGTATTTATTGCACAATCCTGAAATAAATTGAAATGTATAGTTTTGATAATCCAATTTCAGAACACATAGAAAAGAACATAAATTCTGTATCATGCGTATGATTTTTGTTGTACTAACCAATAATTTTTTAATAAGATAATAACAAAACTAGTTCCTATAACATAAGTGTTTATTTATACGTGAAATTTGTAAAAAACATAGACGTGCATTGATTAATGTATTAAATACACGTATAAAATGGACAATTTTATAATTGTTCGGTCTAACCATCCGTGTATTTCCCATTAAACCGCTTCGTTGTCTAGTTTTCAATCCGAAACAACGGAATGATTATTGATTATAAACCTTATAATAAATTCTGTTGCTTTGCATCCCAGTCATATTTGCTAGTTGTCAATCGAATAAATCAAGAGGCAATCGTATTGGCAATGTTATAATGTATACAATTTTTGAAGAACACCGAAATACATACAATTTATAATTAGATTTAACATTGAGATTATAATGAAGAATACACAAATCGTCAGACCGAATAATTATTCAACCACTGTTCAATTGTCCATTCCATACGTATTAACAGTGCGAATCCATAAACGTGTACATTAAATATACGAACTGCGTGTACATGTATATTTTAAATACACGTCTATAATCGTTACTTCTAGAAAAAATCCACCAAAATAACCAAAAACAACTATGTTATTATGTCCTCAATTATTACTATTATTATTTATTTATTTATTTATTTATGACAATAATTACAAGAGCCTCAAATAGAACACCAATCGGTTAGAATTTAATGATTAGCATAAGAAATGGCCAGAAAGAATAACCTGATATATTATGATTTCGAAACATACGATGTATTATTAGGATTATTATTATAATCAGTGGAATGAAAAGGAATATAAAATAGCATATTATCTCTAGTGGGGTAAGAACAGTGTTGTAAAGGAATGCGTTCCTTTTAAAATATAGAAACGAAAAACAGGAAAGAATTCTTATTTATGTGGAACGTGGACGTAAGTTTCCGTTTCTTTTATTAGAAAACAGTATGAAACGCATGCTATTTTAGTGATAACATCATTGTTTAAAATATTGTTTAGTATTGGAATATTGATGACATGACTGTAAAAAGACTCAAATTAAATGATGTTTTGTTAGAAAAATTAGTCCTTAAATTAGGCAAAATGCCAATGAAATATTTTTTTTTTTTGTACAATTAATAAAATATTATATTTTGAGTAAATTAATGATACAACTTTTTAAGTTATATATTTTTTCATTTTTCCTTTTTTAGGATTGGAACTAAAAAATTAATTTAATTAAATTTATTAATATTTTAAACATAAAATAGGTAAGTATAGTTTCCATTTTTCGTTATTTTACCTTCCCAACTTCTCACCTATAACAGTAGCTGCACCCGTCTATGGTATCTTTTTTTATCAATATGTAATATTCGTATTCATAAAAAAAAAGAGATTTTAAAGGAACGAGTTTCTTTTTTAATAAACAAGGAAAGGGAACGAATTCCTTTTTAAAATGAACTTTCCCAACACTGGTAAAAAGGAACACGGAACTGGATCCAGGCTAAAAGGGAAGGATAATCAAAGGAACTGTCCATAGGAGAGGAAAGAAACCTAATATCGGAAGTACTGCTGTGGACAGACATCTTTTAAATATCAAAATATTAACAAAATTATTGAAAAATCCTGCAAATGATCTTTAATATATAAACGAAATTAGAAAGAATAGATAACGTCAACCTAATTTCTACATTTCTACGCTTTAGGCACACAGATACATAAAATATAATCTCAATACCACTAGTAACTGTGGATCTACCTTGCCTAAATCCATGTTGTTCATCATTGATTTTATGGTTAAGACTACGCTTCATACGATTACATATTAATAAAGGATTTAACAAATTCAGTGATATGGGAAGCGATAAAAATAAGATGATAATTTAGCAAATCTGCCGGACCCCATTCTTAAATACCGGAATAATAGTACATATTTTCCATACACTAAGGAACACTCCTTGACTTAAAAACCGATGGAACAACAGATATAGCGGAAAAATTAAACAAGTCAACAGATATAGAGATAACGAGCGAATAAACGATTCGGACCGTTGAAAGTTTTCAAGCGCAAGGAACCCATAAAGAAAAAAAATGTCCTTAGGGAAAAAAAATGTAAAAAGGTATATTGTAAGACAAAATTAGATTGATGACAGAAAAAACACAATAATGAGCGATAGGTACGTTGAAAGTAGAAGAAAAATAAGTAGAGACAAGTAAAAGAGGAATTAGAAATAATATTCTGAGAACTAACAGAAAATGGAATTGAAGGATTTTACTTAAATTTACGAACGTAAATCCAGGAGATGCAGAATTCTCCCACTCACAAATATAGGGTCTATAATCTGATTTAAATCGGTGTTTGCACTGAATCCTGACTTCAGAAAATATGTAATTATGTTTATGTAATGAAAATACTAATCATGTATAGATAAACCTCTTGTTTGGCTTATATATCTGAAATTTAAAATAAATAATATAAATATGATGCGAATAAAAACGGTCTCCTACAAAACAGATTTTACATTATAGAGCCATTGGTTTTATGATATTTTATATTACGCTCTTGTGTACATCTTTGTAAGTTCATATAGCTCGTTTTCCGAAAAATTGCATCCTTTCAGCCTAATTAGAATTTCCAGTATCTACCTCTGATATCTTTCAATTTCAACTTGCACTATAAATTCTATAGTGTTTCAAATAGGTCTAAAATCCATTTTTTCGACAGCAAGCTCGGGCTCGTTGTTGTGTGGTATCTGGGACGAATGGTCCCAGATGTCAGGAATCAATGTCCATAGACATGCGTACGTTTACGGTGGTTTGTTCATCGTGGGATACTTGCTGTCTGTAGTCGGCCGGAAGCCAACAATCGCTTTGATTGGGCCATTATACGTGGTTTGTTGGTCAGTGGTGTTGGTTTTGCCATCCGTCCCGTTATTAAACTTCATGGTCAACGTGTTCGTCGGGACGTCTAAGGCTATGGCATTCGTCACCATACCCGTGTATGTGGGTGAGGTAGCGGAGGTCAATTATCGTGGCTCTGCGCTTACAATATTTGCGATAATGTACACAATGGGCTCAACATTAATGCAGGCGGCCGGTTTGGTGCTCACCCATCAACAGCTATGCGTGATGGGTTTGTCGCTGTCCGTGGTATTTAGTGTGCTGTTCATAACGGGTGTGCCGGAGAGTCCGTACTACTACGCGCAGATGGACCATGACGTCATGGCCAATAAGTCACTTCGGCGAATCCGGGGCAGAGATGACGTTTCGGTCGAGTTGGCCGATATCGAGCATACGGTTGACGTGCATATGATACCCAACAGGAATGGCTACTGTGAACTATTAATCAATGAAGCCACCTGGAAGGCATTCTTCAGCACGGCGATGTCGCACTTCGTTCAGGCACATTGTGGATATATACAGGTAGGTATTTTAGGAAATAACAATATATTTACGTAATATATAATATGAACAATAATAAAAATATTGATTGGCAAACATTCAAAAAGCAGATTGGAGTAAAATTTAGGCAACCCAAAAATCTTTCTTCCTACTCTCATTTTCAGTACCATTTTTACTGCTTTCGACTCTTCTCTCTTCATGAACCATTTCAGTATATTTTCTTACATTTTGTCTACTATTGAAGCCATTCTCTTCTCTATTCACTCCGTCCATCCATTTAAGCATTCTCATATCTACCACACTCATTCTCTATTATATTTTTCTGTTTACCACCAACACTCCGAACCATCTACCATTAATGTTTGAACAGTCCACGTGTCTGTTCTTAATTTAAACCAAACTGTCATACTAAGGCAAAAATTAAATTTAAGGCATAGTGGTGATGCCCCTAAAACGTTGATCTTCCACGATTTGTATCGATCTGAAAACTGTTGCTGAATTTGTTGTACGATTGGTAATATCCACTCTATCCTCCCAACCTCATTATGCTACATCAATTCTCCTCACCTGTTGTCTCTGCGTACAATTGAGATGGGACAATCCACCTAAGCTTTGTTAACCATAGGGCTCCTTATACTATTTGACAAAAATTTAACACTGACCCGACCTTATTTGTTGTTTTCTTACGACAGGAAGTACTGTGAGAGTATTCTGATCCACTCCCACGAAGTTATTTACGAAAAATATAATGATTTTTGATATAATCAAATATTAATTTAGAGCAATAATAATTATTTATTTAAATAAATAAGTTATTCAATCACATTGATCACACATTACCTTCTTAATACCTAACTAGAAAAATGTGTTCATTATCTGGTGTACTTTTACTACTTTTAGCATGTACATATAATAACGAGCAAATCGTTTCCTATTTATAGTTCAAACGTTCCATTCATGCATTGTTGCCGTTCAAAAACGTCTGGATGAGACCAGAAATAGCATTTATATGGATGAGCGTGATTGAAAACTTTGGCAATCTAATAACCGCCCTTTTAGTGGAAAGATTGGGCCGTAAACCATTAATGATCCTGTCATATTCAGCTATGGCAATCGTCCAGATGGTTGTGATGATTTTGCCAATTCCTGCCCCCCGTATACCTTGGGCTCCTATAGTGCTCATGTGGTTGCATGGCCTGTCGTTTGGCCTGGGTGCCGCGTCACTCAGCTCAACGTTGTTGGGCGAAATGTTTACAATGAACATTAAGACCAAGGCTGTTCCATTGTGTGTCTTAATCCTGCATATAAGCTTTATGAACATAATGAACGTCCAAGCCGAGGGATGGCCTGTAACCAATTTCCAGTTCGCGTTGTGCATCATAATCAACATTGCTTGGATCATTTACACCAAGTATAACATGGTCGAGACCAAGGGTAAAACGTTTTTGGAAATTCAAAAGTTACTGACCTTGAAAAGTTGATTCCTATGGATTTAGTAGTAATAATTTTGGTAAGTTACCATAGAGAACCTACCCCCAGGAACTCCTCATCTTTATGAAATCATAAATTTATGGTAACGCATATTTGTGTTATTTACTGTATTATAAAATGTCCGTGTCATTATAAATGTATAATTTAATAAGTACCTAGTTGTGTATTATTGACTTTTCTATATTATATTTCAAATTATTATTTTATATGAACACAAATATTAAAAATGTACCAATAAAACAAATATCAATATTAACCTAACCAGGATTATTAGGTATCTATAACATAATAAAACTATGTTATCACACTGATAATATCACAACATCCCTCAATACTGTTGGTTCAAATACGAAAAAAAAATATACTTTAATACCACAGCCATATATACATATATTTATGTATCTAATTAGGTAATTGAAAATTGACAATAACATAATATATAACATTTGATTGCTGTTTTATTAGTATTATTTTTTTTATACAGTGTAGAGAAGTACAGAATATTAGGTGGGAATTCTCTCTAATCAACATTGAGAACGGTACTATTAATCGGTCACTTTTCTGTTCACTTCAACAGAGAACTATTAAATTATAATTCAATAGGTATATGTCGGTATACCTTCGTATAATGTAACGTTTTGAAACGACTATAAATCATTGAATTCTGAAAATGACCACCAGTAAATCTCAGTGATACCATACATAATGTATTTATTGTTCTAATCTACGACGTTTTTCAACAATCGTGTATTTTTTTTTTATCACTTTATGTTTAAAAAAATGTTAGGACGCCATAAAAACTTCGTCAAAGTTGATAACAAAAAGTACACATAGAATGCAAAATTGGAAGTGGAAGACCACATGGGTTATGTTCCTCAAATTTTGTATTAAGTGAGAATGCTAAACTTTATAAATTTTCTATATTTTTGTTATTATATTAGAAAAGACATCGAATACGTCAATAAAACACAGAGAAGGTGTTAATATCTCCCTTGCCACACCGTGGATACACTTCTGTCTTTATAATTATATTAAAAACTCAGCGGATCCACCAGATCAAAACTGCGTCAATAAGTAATGTTATTGGACCTATATGGTAGTGAAAGGGGTGAGGAGTGAGTAGGAAACAAAATAAACGCATGTGTGTTCATCTTGTTTATTACGAATCACCAAGGGTATAGATTGGTTTTATTTTCGATAAAGCGCGACAAACGGCAGCGAAGGTGTCCCCTGGCTCTCCTCCCTCTGACCAGGACGACGACGATGGTCATATAGGTCTGTAATTGACAGCAGTCATAACTTCTAAATAACAAAAATGCCAAAGATATGATATATTTTTTTTCTTTTTTTTTTTTCTATTGCGAAACAGACTATGTGAAGAGTAAATATTATATATAGGGGGATAAAGTAATAAAAAAAAAAAACACACACACACACACACAAGTGCGTGCGCACTTTGACATTTCAAACTCGAAATGTTATTAACCTCATCTGCATCATAGATATAATAATAAAAACACTGCAGTGTGCGTCTGTCCGTCACGTATATTTTTTCATAATAATATTATGTCTCGGCCGGTACCGACATACGATGAAATTTAAATAAACCAACTGATTTTTTTTTCATCATAGCCAACGGCGACGTCACAAGAAAACTCCCAACTATGAAACAAATTTGAATAGAAATTTCAGGTTTATAATTCGTAATAATTGTCAAATGTTGAATTGTTCTGTGTTTTTACGGTACATATCATAAAGATAAACTGAGATAAATGCTACTGAATTTTTGTGTCACTCTACAATAAAATTGGATCGACAGAACAGAAAGATTAAGTATTTGGTTTATTTATTTGTAAGTATCAGTTCGAATATCAAACAAAACCGAGTATCCAGATTCAAAAATCAAAAATTTCAAAACGTATACACACAACACAGATGATGTATCTACATCACTAAATATTAGTGTTTCCATAATTTCGTGTACAAAGACGTAGCTAGAAATTTCATAAGGTAAAGGACACCAATAAACAAGACATGTTTAATACAATTTTTTAAGTATAATTTTTAATTTTAACATACGTATACGTCACATATTGTACCATATCATTCATTATAAAAGATAACTCAAGAGGTAGATCTGATAAAATAAAAAGCACAATATATTTATATTTTTAATCAGTAAAAGTCATCGTGGATCTTCTGCAAATCTGTTTAATATTACCTGAATTTTTATTTTTTTTTTTTAGAACTAATTTTCTGAAATGTCATAGTTGTCGGTTTCACTCAAAGTGTTAATATACTAAAATAAAACAAGTAGTAATTTTTGAACTAATAAGTGAAAATTTGTCTAATGTCTATTGTTCGTCATAAATGTAATGGTAAATTTAAATTCGCGACTTTGTGTGTGTTTCCGATTAAATTGCGTATAATTTTTCTTGTATACGTATACAAAGTATACACGTAATATTATCGGAATGTTCGAAACCGACTAGGTTATTCCCATGATGAGCATGAGGAAAACAAATTATTTTTAAGTTTGTAATATTCGCGGTCATTCCTTCTCCAATTTAAAATATCATTAAAATGTAATATATTTTTATTTATTTATCGATTTATTTTTTATTAGAAAGAGTATACTTAACATATCTAAATTTAATCAGAACCTAATCGTGGAATTCGGTGGTATTAAGATTTGAATTTAACATAATATCTTACCTTAATAGATTACGGGCAGTCTATATGCGATATTAAGCTATGACAGCTATAAGATAAAACTACTACCCAAACGTGTGTTAAGAGTTAAGAGGAGTGCAAGCATAAATCGGATACATTCACGGGATAACATAATTCTAACAGTTCTACACAATTGTAATATGTAAAAGTATATTTTTCCTTCCTAACGATGATAAAAAAGGAAAAAGGTGGATTGACATAGTGACGGAAATCTGAACGCAATGGGTGTAAAAGATTGGCATGGAATTATGTAAGACAGTGAAAAGTGGCGTGGTATTGTAGTGACAGCTGAAAATCTTGAATAGTAATATCAGGTGCGTTTACAAAAAAATATTTTAGGGGGTTGAATTCGTACTCCTCCTCCACTTGTACACGCGCATATGTATTGTGGCCAGCAGAAGAAAATGAAAAGAAAGAAAACGGTTTTAAAAAAATTCAGTTTTAAATTTATTGTTACCAAATCCAATTTTAATATTATTATACTAATGCTACATGTTCTAATGTCCAATGTACCTGCTTACATATTATTTAATTATGAAAACCAAAGTAAGTTGTGTAAGAAAGTGTTAAATGTCACACTTATTATTCGTAGCTTTTTGAAGAAACGTTGTTTTGAAGAAATTTATTTATTTTTTTTTAAATCATTTCAATCAGGAATTTATAATTGAATACGCGCAGCACGAAGGCAGGTAAATCTCACGTTTATCAGTACACTAATAGGTTAGGTTAGGTGATTTTTTTTTGATTTTTTTCTATATAGGTATTTTCGGCTACGGTTTTCAAAGTATTTTTCGTAATATTCGGATGCAGACGTTTAAATACGCCCAACGACAAACGTAATAATACCGTATCGTATCGCTACAGCGGCGGCGGCGGCGGCGACGACGACAATAATATTGACGATCTCGCCGGGTGCGAGAGTTATTACAATATTATTATTATTATTATTATTATTATTATTATTATTGTAATAACGGGAAGCAGGTGCGATAAAATAATATTTTATAATGCGCCCGTGCTCCCGGTTACACTCGCGCCCGCCGTTACGCTATTTATAGAATAATATAACAATATCGTCGCATACGATATGAATTACAATAATAATATTAATAATAATAATAATAATAATAATAATAATAATAATAATAATAATAAATAATAATAATAATCGTAATGATATAATGTACACAATATCCTAATAATATATACGGTGACCTATACGCGATAATAGAACGTGGCGCGCTCGATGAACTCTCGACGGCGGCGGCGGCGGCGGCGACAGCGACGTAAATCTCGGCGAAGAATTAATTTAAAATGAATGACAGTCACCGATGCGCCCGACGTTTCTCCACGCCGCGGGCGGAAGCGGTGGCGTCGTCGTCGCCGTATAAATAATGGAACTCCGTTAAATAATATATAATATCATTTTCCACGTCGCCGGCAACCTATGCCGAACGCCACTGCCGCCTGTGTGCGGCGATTCGAATTAAAAGCGGTTTTCCACGAGAATCCAACAGACACTTCCGGTGCCTGTCGAAAACCCGACTGCCGTGTATAGGTATAAAACGGGCGAGCGTTACGCCGCGGCACCGCGGTGTACATCGTATATACAGACTGCGGTCTGGAGGTGATCTCTAAAAATCCCCGGTGCCGCCGCTACGAAAATATTAAATGTTTCAAGCTGATCCTCCTGTGACGCTCGAGACGTATATTATGATAATACGCGCATCGCACATAATATTATTATTTCATCATTGCGAACAGGGGCCCGGAATTTAATGACCCGTAAAACGCCGAAAATGCCCCGGACCCTCGAAAAATGCTTTTATATTGTAAAAATTCGAAATAATGCGCTAAAATTTTGAAATAACGCGTATTAAAATTTTTTATTCTCATTAGAAAAACACACACAAAACGAGCCACTCGTTATCTGGATATCTGAGTACTCATCAATAGTTTATTTTATAAAAGTCTCGCTGGCGTGCAAAAATCTTACAAAATCAAATTTCAAATTCCAATTGTAATATCCAAAAACCCTAACATTTCCTAAATGTTTTAAAAATTACTTAGAAATCGAAAAAAATGATCAAAAACTACAAAATAAACCTGTTGTCACACAGTAGTAAGCTTTATGACTATGCGTTTAGTATCGCACATACTCGTAATGTTCTAAATAATAAATACCATTTTAAAATCTTAATAAAATTTCCCATCCCTATCCCCACCAAAAAAATAACATCCGTAATATGCATATTTT